ATTACTTCATGCTTCGATCATAGTGACCGACGTCGATCAATCGTAAGGCTATTTGAAATATCGATATTTAAAAGAATCTCGCGATTAATAATAATTCAAAAGACAAGTCACGAGTTTTTCATGTTCACGTGTCGTTGAATGAAAAGAGAGTTAATGTCGCAATGATTCAGAAAAATAACACTGTTATACAGTCAGAACTACATCTACTAATTTACTTGCCGAATTGTACAACAAATTGGAAGATAATTGAAATTAAATCGGACATTGAAAACAACCTTAATGCTCGCTCGACTATTAGGACTGAAAAATAACCCGCAAAAATCCTCATTCGTGACACATAAAAAACATCATTAGAATCCCATATTCCACGATTTTATTTAAATTACACGCAAAATTGAGAATAATTTGGATAACGCGTTACCCGCGAAATATTCTGAAAACGAAAAATTTTAATCTAAAGTCGAAGAAAAATTCGATAATTGTTCTAATACATAAAACATGCAACGATACTTCTATACTTACTCTTTTATAACCTATCTCACTAATCTACAACGATACTTCTATACTTACTCTTTTATAACCTATTTCACAAACCTACAACGATACTTCTATACTTACTCTTTTATAACCTCACAAACTTACAACGATACTTCTATACTTACTCTTTTATAACCTACAACGATACTTCTATACTTACTCTTTTATAACCTATCTCACAAACCTACATTAAACATTGAATCCTCATTTTCTACGTTCGAACGACTTCATTGACATATATGAACACGTTGAACAATACACACACACATACACACACAAAACATCGAACTAACGGCATAAAACTCGATTGATCGTTAATTGGAATTCGTAGAAAAGTTAATTGTAAATTAATACGAAACACGTCGACCGCTTCGTGACAGCTCGCTTCAAAACGGTCACGTGACCCTGTATACATATATATCTATATGTGCATATGTCAGACCTATCTACCAACTACGAGCTACGTACATATGTACGCGCACAAGATGTGTCATTAGATACTAATCGCCGGGAGGATCGGTTCGGTGAGAAGAACGGAACCACTCGTTTCGTCATCATTTCCCGACGCGTAAAGCAACGATCGAAGCAATGAGGAAGCATCGTCGAAAGTGACGGAACACGTCCACCGCCCGTACTGCTGTCGCGTTTTCACGTGCGCGACAGCGATCACGAGTTTGAAAGCTGGGCGACAAACCCTGACCGACGGTGACAGAAAATCTTTTCGTTAGAACGTGCGAGGAATCCAACGACACCTACACGAGATACGCGGATGCATTAATCGGACGAGCCGTGTACGTGTTTCAATGACAAATGCTGTGAACTTTTCAGAAGAAAAAAGATCTCTCGTTGCTCGCGACTCAGCAATTCGAAATTTATCGAGGTTAAGCGCGACAAATGCTGAAGTGTGATTTCTAGATGTAGGTTATTGACAACGAAAGAGAAAGTAACTGGTTGAATAGGGAACGCACCGAAACGTGACAGACGAACACAGAAACCACCGGAGATGTTAATGAGAATGAACGGACATCACTCGATTTTAAATTCAAATGCAAATTGCGAAAAACACTCGCTTTAGATTTTCTGCAACGCAAGTCTACGCTGTTGTATTATTTGATGTGCAATTAGCTGAACTGTGTGCGTTTATCGGTGTAATCGAAATAAAATCTATGCAAATTTGACTTATCTCGTAATAAATTTTTTCAACTATATTTCCTACGCGTATCTTCCTATAAATGTACAAACAAATTTAGTAACATTCATAAATCTCATTGTGACATTACGCGGATAACATACGTATTAATGCGATTACAGACGACCGAAGAGTAATTCGTCGAACCACCTCTCCCGTGTTTATAGAATAAAAGTATCTGTGAATCAGGACTAATCACCGAGGTCATCCTATATCGAGAGATTAAAAACCACCAGAATCCTACTACGTACCAGCTGATGGCTACAGTTCCATGTTCCATGATCGTTACTTGCAATTTCGATATACATATCTCGATCGTACGCGATACACGGAATTCATGGATAATTCGCAAAGGGATGAAATGTTATAGTGAAACTGCGAACAAGGACGACCAGAGAAACTCGTGCGCGTATCAATGAAGCATGTACACGTACATCACGCAGGTGTAACACGTCGCCCGAAGCACCTCGGAATATCGTGCGAATTTTCACGAAACAGGTGGCAACAGCGCGCAGGCCCAACACACACGCGCGCACACACGCAGAGAAACGGAGAGACGAGACACGAAGAAAAAAGAATGAGCGCACGCGTTCGATCAGCCAGCCAGTACGATAGGAAACGGTACAAAGGCATTGAAAAGGAGCAAAGGGACGTTTCGGTCAGAAAGTACGGAAGTAAGGGAGGTGCGAGCAAAACCGACGTGAGAGAAAAAAAACCGAAAAGAACGTACCTTAGGCCTGTAGAACCATTTTCTGATCGACTCCATCGCGGAGCTGTCGAGGATGTCGGCAGGCTCACGGCCGAGTCGTCACTGCGCCTCTTGCGGCCAAAGCACTTGCGTCATAGCGAAACGTGCCACTGCGATCTTACCAGAAATCGTCACACCACGAGACACCAGTCGACCGCATACGAATTGTGGAGTTCTCTCGTCGGGTATCACCATTAAAGATACAATCATCGACGGGTTCAATCGGTCCACGCATTCGAAACTGCGCGTCAAAACGTGAATCGCGCGTCCGTAAGACTGACTGGCCGAGCACCGATTGCAAAGGCACAGCTCGCTGTTGCGCATGCGCTCGTTGAACGTTATGGAGGGCGTGACGTCATTCCGAACGGGAGCGGCATCTACGTACGCGGCTATTTAAATTCAAATACTCGATAGATAGACGATTTTCTTTTTCAAATTAAAAAGAATTAAAATGCTGTTGTAACATCAACGCGAGACCAATATTTTACTACTTGATAATAATACCTTTAATCGTTTATTTCAAATGCAAATGTTGATTTACAGCTCGAGGTCGCCGATTTTGAAACTGATTAAATACTCCTTAAGAAAATCTTTGTAAATGAGTTAGAATTTAATTTATTTCAATCAAATTAAATGTAGAGAAATTGTATTAAAGTTTTAAATTGCTAAATATATATATTTAGTAATTTAAAATATATATAGTAGAATATTTTTGTGTCTAACTTAATATTCGAACTGCGATAAAACTAGGTAGTTTAAATATTCAACGGAGAAATTTATTTTTATCTATTTAATATTTTTAAATTTAAAAGAAAAATCTGTATTTGAGAAAAGCTATTGGGTTATAAAATAAAATTACCAGCGATACATAGAAGGAATTTAATAATATTATCTTGAAATTTAACACATTTTGATCTACGTGACTAGATTATTAAAAAAAGCAATTAAAAATGTATGACTTTAACAATGATAAATATTATGGATCACAAATTATGCACATATATATACGTAAGTTTCACATTTTAAGTATACATTTGGATTTAGAACTACAAAATAGATTCCAACAAATGCACTTAATATTAGAAAAATTGTCTAAGCCTCGATTTAATAAAATAATAAAAATAACGCGGTGAGCTCTACAAGTATATGGATCACATAATCTACAACTTAAAATGAATTGCAATATAATGTTATACAAATTCCTTCGATTGTGTTAACAAGATGATGTTAATAAAGAAGGAAACATAACTCTATTGAAAACGTAATAGAAACTTATGCTATCACTTTACTTCTTGAGATTCATATACATGTGTAAAGAAGTGGAATGTACACCATAAGTAGTAAATTTTTAAACATCTAAAAAAACGAATTGAAACGCAAGTAAATTTCACATTTGAACAAACATTTGTTTCCATAATTTGATGAGCTTAGATCTTAAATAGAGTAGAAATAGAACACAGCTTGTGCTTATATTCTCAAGAAGTAACATATAGTGTTAATTTAATTAGTTTGCTTAAAACTTTTTGAAAATAATATGTCGAGGATATTCAACACTATACTCTCTACGTCCTACAATAACTAATTTGCAACTAGATTTAAAAGTTTTATTTTTCAAACATTTTATAAGATTATTAACCAAGATGCAAGTCGTTACAACTAACAAAAATATATTATGAATTCTATTTTTCTTTTTTTTTTTTTCTTTTTATTACAAGGCAAGAATTTTAATTTTGGGAATAAAAACTTTCAGGTAATTAAATACCACCAAACATCGTTAATATACATACATGAAACAGTGCTTTAGCTCAAAAAGTTATAAGCAAAATGCTTCTTGTAAGCATACGTACTCTATGCTCGATTTTTGTGCAATAACACTTTTACCCAGCGGCTGCCAGTGCAACCCTCTTGATTTCGATTATACACATTCTTTATAATATTTTTCTCAAAAACCGTTAGGTAAATAACTGTAGTAAATACTGGTTACGTAACTACGGAAACATCTAATATTTGATACAAGCATCACTTTACATTTGCTTGAAAAAATGCAAGACTTTACTACACGGGTAGTAATATCAACTCTTTTATTTTTCTCTGTTTTAAATGCAATGCGCTACCACGTTTCACTTACGATCTATGCAAACTCACTACGTATCTAAGACATCTATATCACTTGAAATGAGAGTAGTTGAGTAACTTCTTGTTGTATTATATTACACAAATTCCTTTTCTTTCCTTTTTTTGCTTCCTGTTGAAATGTTCGAATCGCGTGATTAACAATTTTCATTACAAACATTCAAAGTGGTAATTAATGTATCATTAATTGATTGCCACACAATATTTAAAATATTTCAAACCGTATGATCTAATAGATATCACCTAAAATAAGAAACATCTAAGTGAATTATTTGTATTATTGCACATCGTGAATGTATATCGGAAAATATTTTAAGCGATAAACGAACAATATGTTTCCCTTATTAATTACAGACTGTAGTAATTACGTTGTATTTAAGGATTGTATTGAATTTAAATTTTCTAAAATATAAGATTTTATCGTTTTTTTTTCTTTTTTTTAATACTTAAACGATAATATCAAATTTTATAAAACAGACAGGCTTTAATCGAAAACTTCATTAATAAAATATTGAACGTATACGATATATCAAACGATTAGAATACATTTTTTTCACTAAAATAAGATTTCTCAACTTTTTCTTTAGGCACAAAGTAGATACTTATAATAAATAAAATACCGATTATATAATAAAATTGATATTTAACTTTTAAAATATTTTAAAATTTAGATTAATTACATCATATAATAAACAAGATAAATTTTTCAATCGAATTTACAATTTCCAATGTTATAAAAGTTTTTAAAATACGTATATTATATAATTACGAAAATAATTTTGTAACGATTAAACGTAATTTCATTCAACAAGACTTATGGGATATAACATCAACATGAAAATTGTATGAAATTCCTTATATAAATTCCATTGGCGAGAAGTTTCACAGAGAAAAGTTCTTAAAAATTCTGTAAATCACATAGAATTTTTTGTTTTGTACCAATATTACATCTACAATGCAGCTCAATACAGATTAATATAACAATCTAGAACCACCAGCAAAAACATTAATGTGATTGAATTGATACTACGGTAATAATAATGCTACTGGAAAAAATACAGCAAGTATTCTCTGCATTGTAAGATAAAAATTCGACTTTTTGATACAACTGCAATGTCATCAATTCAATTCCTACGTAACCAGAAAAATCGAACCATATCTTCAGTTTCAGCATTCAACATCAAATTACTCGGATATTAATCAATGTATTCATTGTTAAAATGTGTGGCATGAAAAGTAAAACTGTGAGAAAGAAAAATGATTCTACTGTATGAGAAACTAATACAAACGTCAGTTATTCATGGACATTTTCACAAGAAAAGCAATAACAATCAAATTTGGCAACGACTAATTTACTTAGTTAAATTGGAGACAAAAAACGGTGCAATAAACTCTATACTTTTTATATATAACATCCTTGACCGATAAACCACAAAGTTGCAAGAAAAACGCTAAAAACACTCGGCTGATTCGTATGAGAACATAAACTTGTCATAAAAATAGAACTAACATACAGCAATAAAGTGATCCGCTAAAAACAAAACTATTCAAACAAGCAAAATGATACTATACATATGAAAATAATCGACAATTCTAAATTCTATATATGTACAAATTTTGTCAAAAACACGTCAGCAAAAACAGAATGTTAGAAACTAAGAAGTTTCATTGACAATTTAAAACTGCAACACAAATGCATAACAAGTTATATAAGTAGATGGCACATATGCTTATGAAGTAAAAGGAAAAAGAGGAAGATAAATTAACAGGATACACGCTGTAGCATTGGTAATCGAAGAAAAGAAAAGCAAGAAAAAAAAAAAATATACTCGCTTGCATTCATGCCGTTTCCTAGCCAACTCAAGGCAAAGATTTCTGTAACAGGTAGAAAAATGAATCGTTGGCAAGATGAAAAACTCTCTGCTTTCGTTGACTTGAATGCACGTTACTAAGACTGGAGAGTCGATTGTCCTCTTTCTAAACGCGTTGCTTAACTAAATCCAAACTGCACTTTTCGGCACTGACAGAGCCATTTAATTATCCGAGCGTTACGCTCGACGATGCTCGGTGGATCGTTAACCCTTTGGTTAGAGTCGTCGTTACCCATACCGACGCTGCAATCATTGTTCTGCCACTGACTACTCTGATTCGTTTGGTTGTTCCCAGCCCACGAGTAAAGTCCTAACGCCGAATCGACGGAGCTAACGCTATCGAAAAATACAGGAGACGACGATTTCGAGTCTGGTTTCGTAATACGTTGATAATTTTCCGAATCGAGACCTAAACAGTCAAAGAAGTTCTCGAGTTGGGTGATCGACCGTGGGGGTCGTGCAGGTACTTTATTGGATCGACCATTATCCTGACGCCAATAGCGATCGCTAATATCCGATTTCGATCTCAGAATTGGTCTACCGCGACCTTCTTTCCAGCCATCGGAAAACCTAGTACAGAAATGCAAATTTTTATTATTATCTATTCACCGTCTGGTGACAAAGAAAAAAATAAACTTTTCAGCACCTTTTTTTTTGTTGTTGTTGCCACTATTTATCACGAATTTTAATACCTCAATTATTTATAATGATATTATTACTATTTACTGTACTATAAAAATTGTCAAATAAAATCATCTTGTAAATGAATTCATACCTTTTTTTTTTTTTTATACAAAAAAATCCTCTGAATGCACACACTACAAATTTGTCTACATTTGACAAATGCACGTACCTTGAGTTGCACGTCGGACTATAATCTGTTTGACTGTTGCTGCTCTCAGAATCAGGACTGTAGCGTCTTACAACAGATGGTGGGGTACCGTTAGCGTAACTACCTCTTCTTGAACGATCTTTTTCTGTCGAGTGTTGAGTAGATGCACCGCTGTCCCGACGTATATGACTCCAGCAATCCTGAAACGAAATATTTCACTCGGTGAGTACAGCGGTTTCCATTCAACGTTACCAGACGGTTTTTTTTTTTTTAAATTTCGACTGTACTTGTATCACTGGCGGAGGCTCGCTACGAGGTGTACAGTGTCCAGACGATCCTCCGGAATCTCTCGCTGTCGCTCCGTGACTTAATTTACTGGAACCTGACGACTTTTGCGTTCGACCACCGGCAGACAACACGCTACTCGCGTCACCACCACCTGAACCTAACGAACGTCTGATGTGTCTAGAACTGGAATAGTAACAACTTACATGAGAGTAATAATTTTACGTTTCACGAACATGAGACGCACTATGCGAAATTTTCTTCACCAAATTTAATATAAAATTTTAATATTCAAATATTCATATCATAATGGTAATCATGATTATCATAAATGATGTTCAAATTTCGAATGGTTGAAACTTTAGATACTATTTCGAACCTTCAGTTAGGAAGGATGAATTTTTCTAGTGGCGATATTGAAATTGAACTACAATCTAATAAAATTTTTAAAACAAGAGGAACATTGAATTATCAGAATAAACGCAATTCTCGTAAACACAATTATCACGAAATACTTAAGACATAACACAATCTAATTATCTAATTATTAATAAATACTGTAATTGCGAATTTTCATGCAGATTTATACTTTTATGAACACGATTAAAGAAATTATACTTTGTTTCACTCGCGAGTAATATATTTTTTATATTTTTTAGATACTACGTGTGTTCTGTGCATCATTGAATTTTTCAATATAAAAACCCGCAATAATCTAATTATATACATGAATGTCATAATTGAATATCATAAATCCCTCTCACAGGCCACTACACTTGCGGTGTAGCTCCGAGCAGAAAAGAAGAAAAGTGTTTCAAACCACGAGCCTAAAATTACAACTATCGGGACACGGGTGTAAAAATATTTTCAATACCTGCGATAACAAACTGCGTCTCGTTTGAAACTGTGCTCCGAATAGTCCGAACTAGTTTCACAATCCGGGCAATTGCTCGACGATTGATGATGACCGGATGGCTTAGATGACTTGGTCGATGCACGTGGCGACAGGGACGCTCGTCGTCGCGTGCTAGTATGGAGGTCGGGCAAAGATTTGTGACACACGGTGTTCTCCACCGATTGCGAGCTGGTCGATTTCCTTCCAGATCTTCCGGATGTATGCGAATGCGAGTTGCTACGGCCAAATTTGAAGCGAACATCCTGCGTGCAGTGCTGCAAAAAATAATAGAAACCGAGATTTAACATCGGCCTGCGATATGTAATTGAAACACGAACACGTTTACTATATATATTGTCGTCTAAAATTTTGGGACGATCGTTTTCACAATTTTATTACTCGAAAATTTCGAATCATTTCGATCTAGAAGTAAATACCTTATCGATTGAAAGTATGTGGATTTTTTAAACATGTAATTTAATTTTTAAATTATAGATAGATGACTTGGTTAAAGCTCTCATAGAATCGTGTAACAGACGTCGGAATAATTTTGCACGGTTTATTCTAGTAGTGTGTAAATTATCATGAATAATTAACAAACAACGGCTGATCTATAATTTTGTAAATACTGTCTATTGTACTGTGCAAGATATAAAATATTATTAACGAAGAAAGAAATTTCTACTATTACTCTTCTTTTAAGCACAGAATCTCAGATATCGTTAAAAATGTCATCTTTTCGAATGTCGAAAACGAACAATCAAATTCTGAAAAAATTATATAATTCAATCCCAAAATTTTTGGACGTCACATCGACGGGAAGATGGCGATTGATGGCTTTCAAACGTAAAGGGAATTAATTAAAATGACTCAGTACAAGTCCCGTACCAGTTTCACGATTGTTTGATCGTTCATGCTGTGCACGTGTTTAATAAAACAGTGGAGGAATATGTCTTCCGTGTTAAACTCGCGAACACGCGTATGTACAACTTCCGGTTCCTAACTCCGTTTCCTCCTGTCTCCGGCGCTTCCACAATTACGATTCATCACGAGGAGACGTGCATACGTATTCATGGATAAAACGTACGGAGGACAATAATACTACATATCGACGATGAATTAACAAGTATTGTACGAAACATTTAAAATACACTATCGTTAAAAACATCAAGTGTATATTTTACACGTCCAAGAAAAGTTATGTAAGAATTTCACTTACACAGTGAACTTAATTATTAGACTAGTAGTCTAGATTAGTAATTATCAGACCACGGATTTTTATGTAGAAGTTTGGAGGTATATTTACAATTGTACAAAAATATGTAAAACATCCAAAGTACAGTAAACACATATCCTTTACAATATTTCTATTTTTCTAATTGTATTTATTAGAATATAAATTTCATGGCTCACGATAAGATGAAAATAAAAAAATGGTGGAATTTTTAGAAGTATTTTTTAGTTTTATATTTAGAATTATAAATATAATCTAACAAATTAATTTAAAAATTTGTTAGTAAAAATTTATTTCATCCACCATGCATGTATTATAGTAAATACTATACTTTTGTTGTACCGTATTTTTGTATGATACATTTTTACAATTTTTGATTTACTAAAAATTCACAGTTTATTATTCATATCGTTTATCTAGCACTTTTCCAAACTACTTTATAAAACCAAAATGAGAATCGTGCTAATAAATTCCAAATTTTTTAACGACAGTGTACACATATACACAAAAAATGTACGACATAAAAAAAAGAGAAAGAACACGACAAAATTATTGTAGCCCACAAAAGAATCGGAATATTAAACCATGAGAAACATTTCAAACGGAGGTAAAGGTGAAAACTAAATCACGACTCACGTTGATCTTCTTTCGAACACGAACTATATGTACAACACCAAGCTAAAAACACATATGCAGATTATATGACTGTAATTAATCAGCAATTTTATTTTGCATAAATGAAAAAAGCTGAAAAACGGAACAAACTGTGAAATTAATATACAGTGGAGTATATACAGCAACGAGTAAATTCCTCATAAATATAATTCAGACTGTTATAATAAACAGAGAGACCATGACAAGCGAATAATCTATAAAAAATAATTATCATAACTTACTATATTATAATACTATATAATACATATTATATTATAATAACTCACTATTACATAAATTAATATAATATAAATTAATTCTACATGTTGTATTCTTGCACGTGTACTTTTCATTTCGAGTGGTATAATTTTAATTATAAATTATAAAGACGTATCTCTAGAAACGTATGTGTTTTATGAATTACATTGAAGCACGTCAAAAACGAACTACCCCCGCAAGAGACGGAAATCGAAATTATGCAGCCCATTTCCAGAATACTCCACTGTATTTCTAAGATTAGAACGCAGAAAAAGTACGACGTGATTTCACCTTTACGCGATCATCCTCGCGAAAATTGGGCGACAGACTTCCAGGAGAATATCGGAATTTCTCCTCCTGCGGAATACCGTTCGTCTGAACGATCGTTTGCGTCGGGCTGTCAGGGAAGAAGACGTTCTCCTTGCTATCGGTGTTTAACAACCGTCGTAATTTCGTCTGCAGTTGATCTCCACCGGTGCTGCTCGGTGGCCCTGAAATCGTTCGCCGCTGCGGAACAGGAACCAAACGCGGACTCTTCGGTGGCAGTGCGGGTGGCAGTGTTTGTTGAGGACTCAGAATTCCGTCCGCTTTAAATAAATTAAACACACAACACATAAGAGATTATTTTTTTGGCGATTGCGCAATCTTTAATTTTATTTCCAATACCGGGACGCACATCACAATGGTGAGAATAATCTTGACTTGATCGAAGAAATCAAATCTGACCAAAAACGAGTTAGTGCGTTTTCGCTATATTTTTATGATTTTTCAATTGAAAAGAAGCCGCGAAAGAAAGTGTACGCGCTCGTCGGAATGTAAAGTTCAAAAGGTCTGAAACACAGGATGGATATCTGGTGTTAGAACTTTCGAAGTTACATCGGGAAACGGGAACTGAAAAGAAAATTGGACGTAAAAGGATCCGACAGAGAGAGAGAGAGAGAGAGAAACACGAGGAAAAGTCGCGGGAAATCGTTTACCAAAGTACGACACACACACAAGTATCCCCATAAACAGCAAAGCCAAACTCGTTACCAATTCTCATCCACGTCGGTGCTACCGCATCCGTGCTATGAAGAGCGAAGGAAGCTTTCGAAAGTACTCAGACAACCACTTACGGCTATCTGGTCGATGGCAAGTTGCCCGGCAATGAAACGAGGAACCGTATATAATACCGGTATCTGTATGAGAGCGCGTACGACTGGTTAAATGGCCGTGCACGTTGAATCGATTCCGGTGGTCGAAAACGTGCTCGTAGACGGATGTGTGATTACCCAGTTCAAAGTGTTCCACGGCAAGTTAAATGAAACAAATACGTTTAACTATCAGTTTCTACTTTGTCACTCTAAAGTAATCCGCCCATTGCTCGCTCGCGCCAATTCTATCCTTGAAGCATTAATTCGTTTAACCTTGCGAGTGACTAAGATTATCAAATACTCGTGACAGTGAATGAGGTAAATGTATTCGTCTTTGATTAGTATGGGAAAGGTCGACTCGGAATGTTGAGAATTGGATTGTCAAACAAAAATTATCGCAGTTCAAGTAGCATTAAAGATATGGATTCTCCTTGAAGAATTATACCTGTGATAATTCAAAATTCATCTACCAATCGAAAATTAAAGTCCAAGTCAGCTGGTATCAAAAAAAAGAAATCATCACTCTAAAGTTCCAAGTAGTATGAACCTAGGAACCTCGGTCTAAATTGAAACTTTTCGTACCGTTTGGTAGAGACAGAAGGGACAGAAAAGAATTTATCAGTAGTATCTGAAAACGTTTCATTGAACAATAAAGCGTCGGGAGAGAAAATTTGCAAGAGAGTTTATTTGCAAGAGAGACTTACGCCTATCCTGTTCGTGGCACGATGCCCAGCAACAAGGTGGCGTCATCGGAGCAGGTGGCAGCTGCGACGGCGACGTCGGTTGCATCGAACAGGTCGGCGTGTTCCCGCATTTTCTCAGCAGCCTGGGTGGCGCGCTGGGCGCGCTCAGCTGCGAGACCTGAAGATGACCGCTGTTCTTCAGCTCCTGCTTCCGGTCCAGCACGGTCTCGCTCTTCACGTAGAACGCCTTCGTCTCCTGTAGCAGTTCCACCGCGCTCTTCCGCTTCCCTGCGGCACGTGACGAGGAAACCAGACGGCTGTAAGTGACACTCGAGTAAAAACGGTAAATAGCCCGCTTCCTGTAAACGGATACCAAGACCAGCCGGATACCCGCTCGACAGGGTTAAGCCACGTGCGCCGGCACGAGCCTCTTTCGAACTAAATCCCTGTCCTTGCTCAGAGCAAATCATCCAGCGGGAACAAGGACGAGGCGTTTCTCGAGAAAAAATATATATAATATATAATTCTACATAATAATAATATTATTCTAAGAATCGAGGAGAAAACTTGGAACTAACGTGTCGTCGATAGATTGAACGCGTCAGAAACGCAGCTCCATCCTTGATAGACTTTCGGAGCGATTGAAAATTGATCTTTAACAGTGAAAGTTAACGACATCGGCGAATAGATTAAGAACGGGACGAATTCACTTTGCATGGTTTAGAGAAAATTTCACTGGGTGAAATCTCTCGATAACTGTAAATTCGATATTCCCCTGTTCCCTTTCCTCAACCGGCCGCGTAAAAATGGCTACTAATAGTAAGAGGATTATGATGGTAGTGATGCATGTACTGCTTTTGTCAATTGTTTGTTATCATCGCACGATCTGATGGGTGACATCAATTTCGTTAATAATTTCCGAGAGAGTGTGAACTCCACTTTTAACCCGTCCAAAAATAGACAAAAGATTTGTGGATTCTTTTTTTCATAGATTAACATTGTTACCAAACGAAGAGTTCCAATTTTTTTTTTTTTTTTTTTTGCGTTTGAAATATTGAACCAGACCTTTTCATATATTTTCCTGTGAAATAATTTCACGTACATTGGAAATTATTTGATATTACTATTATCATTTTAATACTTTATTATATTATCATGTTATTTTTATATCGGTATATTATTATTTCATTGCATATTAATATTGATAAATTTTATATTACAGTAAATTTATAACTATTATTTATTATTTAATATATATAGCTGCAACGATCAAAATAAATAGTTATTCGTAGAAATTTGAGAGTAAATTTTACACAATTAAGTAGGCAACAAATTTCAATCTATTCAAAGTATATTAAAATTATACATTCGTATTAAATTTCATAGTTTAATAAATTTAGTTGAATAGGGAATTATTGTTGCATAAATTCAGTAATGGTGTGTTATAAGTTTCTGTTTGTTCTTTCTTGCCCTGCTTTCGCGGGTATTCGCGACGAAAATGGCTCTTGAACAAAGTCCGAAGAGCACGCGCAATTCCGGTTTAATTAGTCAGTTTTAGTAGCAATTTATTGTAAGAGGAGCATCATTAGTGGAAGTAAGAAAGAGTGGAGTTTGCGAAATCTAGAACTAATCCAACAGTAGAAATACGTGTAGTGTTAAAATTACAATTCTTTTGCGAGACATTTTATTTCGAGCGCGTAGACAAATTTCGAAAAATTTCAACCCAACTGTTAACTCATTCTATATAATGATTTTTTTTTTTTTTAAATTCCTATCTGTGTAAAATATAAAAATTTTAATGGAATATATCCGCGTCATAATAAGATCTTCAAGAAAATAATGTAGAAAATATAAATAATGACGAAGATCATCAGACGATTTATCGTCTAGTATGAATAACATTATGTAACACACTGTTATTCTCGTTATAATTTATACAAATATCAATTATAACGATAATCAATACAGAGATTGAACATCTCTAATGGTACAAACATTAAAAATAAATAGTTCAAATTGAAAATAATGAAAGTTGTAATGTTTATAAACTATAATATATATAATTTATAGTTGAATCTCACTAATTTTACAGTAGAGAGCGAAAGTGATGCTAAAGTTAACTAAGAATTGTAGCGTGTTACGTAGCGAGGCAACAGCGTGAACTTGACGTGTAATAACGCTTCGACTGAAATCGTGAAAGAGAGGGAACATTTCACTTGTGAAACGAAGTGTAATACCTATTTCAAAAACCATGCAAAATGTTATGAATAAAGATAGGTTCGTCGATAGTTTCACTTTAGCATAAATTTCCGGGTAGCCACAAGCGTATCCGGTTGTGGCAGCGATTCACCGGAAACGACGAATAGAAAATACAATTGAACCGGTCGTTTGGGAAATCGTAAACGAGTAAACATTCTTCTATGCCAAATTTTCATGTAAACGTAACGCAAAATACAGAGGAAATAGACAACCGGTATATGTATGTATAAATATAGAGATATATTTGTTTCGATACAAATTGACATATTCGATTATTTTTCCAAATTTGGATACGCCTCACGAAAGTATTCGAACACGCGCATTTTCGTAACATTTAATGTAAGTGAAGTTGCAATGCGTTTAAAGTCACAAAATATTAAAAAAAAAAGAAAGACATAGTATCTGATAAAAGGTAAGTAAATGTAGGAAGCACTTTTGCACACATATCACGTATGTTATATAAAATACTTTGAAGTTCCATTGACTCTGAAATAAGATAGACGATTGTCGTAAATGACACTGATGAAATTTCAGAGCAATTCTAAAAATGTATATAAGGCTACCACCGCGAGCTGTTTCATACAATTTGAAGAGCGATCGATCGATCGGTGCACTCGGTCAATCGATCATGCCACGAAACAGAGAAAGAGAGAGAGAGAGAGAGAGAGAGAGACGTCAAACGAAAGTGACGAAACAGGTCAGCGACAATGTGATGGTGAAACAAGCAAGATATTAATTGCAATCTTTTTCCAAAGCAATGCTCGGAATGATAAAGAAGGAAAATATATCGCTCGCGTCGATAAACGACGACGGACGTGCAACCTGAAAACGGAAGTCGACAGCAGACCAGAAATCTCTGACGTTGATTAACAATACTTCCCTAACACGAAGTGACACACCACCTGAGGGAAAACGGTTTTCCACGCCACGTGAACGGAAATAACGAGATTGGTTAGTCGCCAGGAATAAACGAAGGACAAATTACGCGTAAGAGTATTCTTTCCTCGGCCGCTGAAGAAGAAGCTACAAGGACCGTATAAATAATTCATGATAACACTCTAATTACGTTAAACTTTTATCAGCGGCAATCCATTTTTCACGCTGAATCATCGTGTATCGTTATCACCTCCCCCACCATCGTGGATGTCGAATATCCTGAATAATTCATCGTTATCACGGTCGTTTTGTGATTTTAATCCTACGGCTTTTCAACCAATAAGTATCAAGTGCATCCTTCTTAAGGCAACGCTCTCTCTCTCTCTCTCTCTCTCTCTCTCTCTCTTAGATTCTTAGACGCTAGATTCTAGATTCTTAATCGCTCTCTTTCTCTCTCTCTCTTTTTCTTAGAATCTTAGGCGCTAGATTTTAGATTCTTAGACGCTAGATTTTAGATTCTCAGATGCTGCATTCTAGATTCTTAATCGCTCTCTCTCTCTCACTCACTCACTCACTCACTCTTCGATTCTTAGACGCTAGATTCTAGATTCTTAGATGCTGCATTCTAGATTCTTAATCGCTTTCTCTCTCTCTCTCTCTCTCTCTCTCTCTCTCACTCACTCTTCGATTCTTAGACGCTAGATTCTAGATTCTTAGATGTTGCATTCTAGATTCTTAATCGCTCTCTCTCACTCACTCACTCTTCGATTCTTAGACGCTAGATTCTAGATTCTTAGATGCTGCATTCTAGATTCTTAATCGCTTTCTCTCTCTCTCTCTTTCTCTCTCTCTCACTCACTCTTCGATTCTTAGACGCTAGATTCTAGATTCTT